GGGGGGGGGGAGAAAAAGGCAAAGAGAATAGCAAACGAGAAAAAGATGGAAAGCTTTATAATATGTGCTTTTAATTATCCATGACTATCCATACCATTTAAAGTTAACAAAATTCGTCGATTTTATTTAATTAAAAAATGTAATATCCTAGAAAGGCAAAAACGTTGTTCTAAAGTGCCAAGAAAAGAGGTGCCATAGAGGGTCCTCTTAAGACCTATAATGGAACATAATTGAATAGGGACATTTTATTGTAAGGTCATTATTCAGTCTTCATTCTTTGGCTTGTCATTCTATATATGATACTATCCCGTCCAGGGTCCATGTACCAGAGCACCAAAGCAATAACGTACACAGTCAGGACCAAAGCGATAAAGAGCCACAACCAAATGTTGAAAATGATGGAGTAGAAAGGTGTGTAGTTGTATGCCACATTTAAGGCGGAGAAATTCTGAAAAGAATTCAAGAAATAAGATGGTTAACTAATGGGCCGTTTTCACGCGGCAGTGTTGGTTTGAACAATACATTCCATCGCACGTGGCACTGACCACGTGTCATTCTCTTGAGACTAATGGGCCGTTTTCACGCGGCAGTGTTGGTTTGAACAATACATTCCATCGCGCGTATAGCACTGACCACGTGTCATTCTCTTGAGAAAAGATTCTTTGTCTTGAGAAAAGATTCTTTTTTTGATTTGTTTCCAAATTCATGCGCCTTTAATGCGTAACCGTTAAACAAAGAAATGATGCTCTAGAGAATTGCGCGTGGTATCAAATGAAGGTAGGGTGACGTGACCGCCTGCTAGAGACAAGTATTTTTCTTTCTTTTACCAGGGGACACCAAGAATAAAATAGTTAACCCTACCAGTAGGGTCACCTATTTTCATTTCATATACCAAGTGTCATTCTCTAGAGTATCATTTCTTCGTTTAACGGTTGTGCATGAAAAGACATTTTTTCTCAAGAGAATGACGTGTGGTCTGAAATGAGAAAACTTTGTGCTAAAATAAATAATATCAATAATAATTATTATTTCTCATTACTTTTCATTGATTTTGTTTCATGAATAATGTAATATTACTATCTTACCCCAGATGAGAAAGTCCCGGGTTCATCGTCTACATCACGTCTGGTTCTGTGCAGCACTGAACTGCCAAGGCAATCAACCTGAAAATAATAAAGAAAAACCATCGCTCAATCTCTTATACTTGCAATATATAATTTTAGTACAATTTTAGACTTGAATATAGTTTCTCGCCCGGTGACTGCTCGAACGACCAGTGATTCTAAGACGATAATCTGCTCGAGCAGTAAATTTTAGGTTTTCCAAAGATGACTCGCGGCTCGGTAAATATTCCACCGATAATTACTTCGCCATCGGCGAATAGAGTGTGTTCATGGCAGCCATGTTGGTGCCAGAAACAATGCAATATTTTTGCATGACAAGAAAACTTATTTCCCAAGGGAAAAATTTATTTTGTTTAACCAACCAACATGGCTGCCATGAACACACTCTATAATTGTTAATTAATGATGGTAATTGAACTGAGTGGAGTGCAATTTGGTCTGAAATCAAACGCGCGATTACAAAATCGAACGACCGCTCAGACCCATATTGCACGACACGAAGTTCAATTACCACTTAATCATATCCTTTTTGTAATCATACACAAGAAGCTAATCGGAGTAAACGAGAGATGAATGTGGAAATGTGTTTATATAGTGAACGCTTCTCGTTTAATTAGTCTATTGTTACTTTCGATCCTCTTGTTTCTTTTTGTTTTCCCTTATACTTATCTCTCATTGGTTATTTATCATCCACGCTCACTATATAAACACATTTCCACATTCATCTCTCGTTTACTCCGATGAAGGACTAACGTCCGAAACGTCAGTTTCATTTTTACATACCATACGGTGTTACAAATTATCTATCTATCAACTGTTTTACTGAAAACACCAAAGCAGTTTACACTAGTTTTCATTAGTTTTCCACCGCACTAATTATTATTTGAGTTTCGGAAAAGACAAACAGATAATAAAGAACGAAAAATGAAAGACGAGAAAAAAGAAACCGAACAGGAAAACGAACGGACACAAGGACAATTTAGCTTCAAAAAGGATTCTGGTCTTCGTAGAGCGGATGCAATTAAACCGTGAAATATAATCACACTAAATACTAACTAATAGTATCTATTTAGTGACTAATAGTTGCTATCACTCAACCAGAACATTCATCATACAAAGACAAATCGTTTGTTTACTAAATGTTCTGGTTGAGTAATAGAGTGCTCACACTAAATCCGTGAAACAAATACTAATTTTTAGCACTAAATAGTGATAATTAAACAATAGAAAACAAAGGATTCTGTATGAAATAGTACTAATTAGTACTATTTAATGTTCACGGTTTTAGTGCGTGCACTCTAGTGACAATTATAGTCACTAAATAGATACTATTAGTTAGTATTTAGTTTGATTTTATTTCACGGTTTAATTGCATCCGCTCTAGTGTAATAATCTTCTGATATTTACCTTGAGTTTTGATTGCATATTAAGTAGTTTATTATGAAGAGAATCGCATAACGTTTCCATGATAGTATTATCCTAAAAGATAAATGGGATAAATGAGGAAATAAAGCAGAATGCGATTAAAATTTATCTAAATAAGGTATTGCACTGGGAAGCCATTTCAGTGTCAGTCCTATATGGCCTTTTCAATCCTTTTCACGAAAAACAATTACGAGCTGGGAAACCATTTCACTGTACAGTGTACCATGTACGTGATGATACTTGCTTTCCAACTCATACGATAACTATTCTTATGGGAAACCATTTCAGTCAATGTTACAGCATGTCGTACCGTGTACGTACACCTTTTTATGTATGTTTTTCACTTACACGATAACCGTTTTTATAGGAAGCCATTTCAATGCTCTGGCTTACCTTGTCAAGTACATGCAGTAAGTCAGTACCGTATGTTTTGTACTTACATGATAACCATTCTTATGGGAAGCCATTTCAATGCTCTGGCATACCGTGTCAAGTACATGCAGTAAGTCAGTACCGTATGTTTTGCACTTATACGACAACATTCTTATGAGAAGCCATTTCAATAGTTCGTGGTGCTATATTTTTCATTACGTTACTTACCATATCATGCTTAAAGTTCACGCTTGGCAAGTGTTGGCTGAAGGATTCAACAGAATCTGAAGCAAGATGAGGTTCCAAGTGATGAAAGATTTCACCGACCACCTCAGGATATCGTTCTTTTAAATCCCTAGAAACAAGGACAGACAGATAGTCATTCAATCAGTCAGTCAGTCCGAAAGTCAGCCAGTCAGTAAATACGGAGAAGATAGACCATAAATATATTACCCATTCCATTCTGTAGTCAAGACTTCGACAAGAGCATTCCCATTGTACAGGTCAGCAAATCCCTTGCTCAGCTAAAAAAATTGTAAATTATTCTTACTTGAAACCAAACAATTTTCGATTTCTGAAGTAAAACAAAAAAAAAAAACAAAACAAAAAAAAACAAAACAAAACAAACAAAAAAAAA